GGCTGCATCTTGAATTTTTTCTTCAATAGGGAATTAAAGTCCTGCCGCTCCCTGGACTGCCATTTTGTCTCTGGCTCTTAACGGGGACACCATGTCTCATCACCAGTAAAGATGTGATTCAGGAAACTGCAACCTCATGTTGGCTCAATAGGTCCTGAAAAACTTGCATATGGTGTTCCTTCTGTTCTTGTGTGATCATTCATTGGACTCACCTGGTGCAAACTTTGCTTTATTCCAATGTTGTCACCATCACTTAGAATGCACTGAAGCCAATAATCGGCTCCATACACAGTTCCCTGGTCGTAATCCACTAATTTGTGTGGATGAGCTGATTGAGGTGCTCTTCAGTTTGTGGTGTGACAGCTATGTGTGCCCATTTGGAATGTGTTTTATCTTTCATGTTGTTGTTGCCACTGCTAAAAGGCACCACTCACTGTGCTCACATCCGCTGTTTGATCTCTATAAACATTCAGCAAATATGCATGAATGTCAATGATTACAGTGTTTTCTGCATGGAGGAATTCAGTGACCCAACTTTTGCTTCATCCACACTTCCATGTTGGATGCCATTCTGTCAGACTGCCCCTCTGCTGCCATCTGTTGCAGGATAACAAACTGGAATGAAATATTGGTGGGAAGATTCAGCCTGTACTGCTATACCACCAACATCTGCCTCCAGTGTTGTGGGCCAACATAGGGAGTGCTGCTTTCAGAGCAGTCCTTATAGAATGGTAAAAATACTCACACAAATCAAGTTCCCTGAACAGTTTCCCTTACTCATATATTGTATCTGACCATAATTCATGAGCCTGGAAGCTTACATGCTCTGAAGTAACTGAGTATTCTTAGCAGATTTTGGCTGGATTTGTTCTTTTGAAGTTTGTTTGTTTGTTGTTTTTTTTAGGCTGGCATTTGTAGTCATTGAGGACAAACTATTTCTGAGCAGATGTTTCTGTATTTGCTATTGACCTTTACAGATCTCAGTTTTATTTATTGAGTTTTTTGAGTTAATTATTTACCTAAACAGTTGTTCTTAACTTGTGAGTAATTATTAGCACACTTTATTTTTTTTGTATTATTGAAAACACAAGGAAATATTTTTGAATATTTAGAAATCATTAACCACTATACTGCTGTTAATAACAGATCTGATGATGGAAACAATATGAAGCAATCATCAGACACTTGAATGAAGATTAGAGCACAAGTCTGAAATTTCAGCCAAGAATGACTGAAAATGCTTTAAGTTGATTTGCATGCAGTTTTAGTTCAATCTTATGCAATATTATTTATGAGAAAAATTAATATACCACTGAATACCACAAATTTTTTTTTTTACAATGAGCATCCATTTACACTTGCTTATTTTTTGTAGTGGAACTTTGGATTGTCCACATTTTAGGCCATCAAGCTTAGCATCTGAAAGCAATAAATGGTAGAAACTCAACTACTTTTCTGGTCAGCGTAGTTAGTGTGTTCCAGATTGCCACTCCAATGATGCTTGTTGTGACAAATCAATAAGTATTCAGCCACCTTATTCCCATGACAAATTTTAATGCAATTTGCTTTGCTGAGAGTAATGGTACCTGCTACCAGATAGCAACTGTGCCATTCATTCAAATATTCAAGAATTGCAATGAACCCATGAGCCCCTGGCAAAAACATAAAGGAAAAACAACAACAAAATCCCAGACTGGTGAATTCTCGAAGGAAATGAGGAAATCTGAACCGACTTTTTTCACTAGGCCAACTCATTTTTCTAAAATTTAGCTATGTTTGTTGCTTGCTTAACGCAAATAGGAAATCAAGCTTTGTTGCTGGTGAAATCAGCTCTTTGGTTCTGAACTATTGCTGTTTTAAGTACTGAAATCATGACTGGAAAAGAAATATAATGAAATGAAAAATAGGGTCTAAAAAGCTGTAGTTATGAAATAGTGCACTGGATAAGGAAATGACAGTTGGATTCTAATCAGGAAAGAAGGAGCTGGAACACAGTGATCGTGGGTCTGACAAGGAAATTAAATAGTACAAATAGAGAAATCTTACCATTTTATTTTTGTTTTAAAAAACTTGCAAACAGAGAAATGGAATTTTTTACTTTCAGTGCACTGTTCTTAGAAATGCACGTTTATTATTACAAAATGTATATATTTCCTTAATTTTAATGTAACTTATTTCTTCAAAAAAATAAAGCAAATTCAGTAAAAATGCTTATGTAAGCAAGATAGGTATCCTCCAATGGGAACCTCTTCAGAGTTTTGATTTTTGAATCAGGTGCTAAGCGCACAGAATTTCAATTTCTTGCTTTCTGTTTTATATACTGATTGAGGGTCAAGCCATCAGTTGCCGGCTGCTTGGCATTAAGCAAAATCTTCTGTTTTTTCTCTTTTTTTTTCCAAACAAATTCATACGATAACCACAAACAGCCCTGAGTTATTAAATATGTTGGTAAAATACTCTTGTTCCTTTCTTTCTGTTTACCCATGTTCTATAGTGATGCTTTTGGTACTCATTTAACCAGCGGTGTTGCTGTGTCTGACAGCAACAGTTAGGCACCAGGGAATGATGAAGTAGGGAAAATTCATCAAGAAGTATGTATTTAAAAAACCATCAGTGTGATCTGAAGAATAAATAGTATGAAATGTACTCAGCAGAAGTGCTTACATTTCTTTGTCCAATATCCAAAAGCTTTCTTTTCTTTACCATTGCAAAAAACTAATTGCATTTAAAAAGATAATTTTGTTCCCTAGTCCTACTCAGAAATCTGAACTTGGATGCCCGAAGCCTTTTCTTCCTGCTGTTTTCCTTGGAACTTGGCTTTTTTGTATTAATGACTGCAGTGTTGACTCATTGAAAGAAAAAGCGAGAGTGTATTCAATTTTGGACCTTCTGCACATGTGTAAGGGTAACCTGACACATGAAAAAGTGGTGAATTAATTGCTCATGGGTCTACGACTACCAAAATTTGAGAGGTCTAGGTGTTGAGCAGCCTGAAAATTCCTTTTACTCCTCAAATTAGCATAAAAAGAAACATGATACAAAGAGATGTAAATCTAAGTGTGCCATACTCCTTTCCAGTGACGATGCATCTGGGAAGTCATCCTTACACATTCTTGAGCAGACGGGTAGCCTTGAATATAGGAGTTATCACAAGTCAGAACTGTGATCAGTTCTGCACTGCTGCTGCTAATCTAAGGTGCTGATATTTCTTCCTAGACATACTGCTAGTCATTTATTCTTGCTGTTCTTAGCAACGTCACAGATACGTGCCAGCCAAACTGTCTGCTGTGTTTACAGTGTGAGTGATTTTGAAAGCTTACTGCTCTGCATGTTTGCCTCTGGACAGAATTCAGCTCTTTTTATTTGACATGTCATGTGTTTTTATCTTGAACTTTCTCATGAATTTTTATTAGGGAAAGATCTTCTGGGAGAGGGATTGAAAGACAAAAATAGGGACCCAAGTGGCCCTAGGCTGAAAGATTAAAGAGAAGTGGCAAAGCCTTTGGGAGAGATGGGAACTCCAAATCAGGGTGAGCCTCTACAGGTTATGAAAACTGGCAGAGTTGTTCTCGCTGCTCTTTGACTTTATCATGGCTAAAGATGACAGATGAAGACTTGCTTTCCTCCTTACTGTTTGTCACCAAATTTGCAAAGTCATGCTGAAGCTCATAAATGCAAAGCAGTGCTTGGTGGTGATACATTCCCACTTGGTGTGGGAATGTAGGTGGGAGGCTCCTATACAGATGGCAGCAGGAGCAGCCTGGGGACTTCCTGACTGATGTTCAGATTGTGTCCTTGAGAAAACCCATTCGGTTTTGCCTTTTTATAAAAATACAGCATCGAGATGAAGCTATCATGGATGATAAAGTGGTGTTATTAAAACAACTTGAATTCCAGAGCTGATTGGAAAACTCATTGCATTGAGAAAACAAGGAAAATTGCATGGTATGATGTAATTACCTTCCCGAAATCAGACATTGAACCTGTGATTTGGTTCACAAAACACAACCATCTGATCAAACAGTGGTGATCTTAAACCTTTTCCAGTTTCAAAATTCGCTCTCCAAACAGTGCAAGTTGTGATGTTTCTTTTAGAAAGGCCTGTATCAAAGTGAGAGGTGTGGGAGATGGAGAAAGGCTAATTCTGACCTTAGTAGCTGAAGGTAGAGAAGAGATCTGCAGAAAGTATAGGGTAAGAAATAGAAGAGGTTAGCTTCTGGGAAACTGCACTTTATGCACAGAGAAAGCACTGAGAGGATCAGAGAGAAGGCTGGGAGGGAAGGCAGAGATGTGTTGATAGGGCTTCCAAGGGGCTGAAGGATGCTGGAAAGTACTCACAAAATTGCCTGAAGCTCCTATGGAGCTAAACAGATCAGAAAATGTAGTGGATTGAAAAAGGCAGCTTGTGTATAAACCATTTCCATTTATTTTTTTTTTCAGATGTGGTAGCGTGAAGTTTTCCCCATGTAAAAGAAACCTATTAGATTATATTCTGAGTTATTCTTGGGCTTTGTTGTACATTGTTTACTTTTAGCTTACAAGTGTTCGGTCTGAGACATCAGCAGCTGGGGTCAATCTTGGAAAATCACCTCTGAGTTCTGTTTGTTGGAAAGCGTGGACTGAAAAGTGACTGAGTGTAGATGCAACTTCAAATGTGATAATAGAAAAAAATATGTAAAACATTTAAAGTAAGGTTTTTTAAAGGTCCCATGCTAGTATTTGAGGTCAGCTAAACCTTGTTTAAAATTTATGATTTAAGCAGTCCTCTGAGTTTAAGTCTAGTCTATAGGAATACAAAATGAATGTGGATTGTCTACACTTACTTTCATAAGCAGAATAAATCTACAGTTTTAAATAGTTTGCTATGTTATCACTCATCATTGGAAAACGTAATATAAAGCCTGTTAGTTCATCTTGATTTTACTTAAAGACATAGGGAGTGGAAATAATAACTGAGTTTTATGTTGAAAGTCATTGTAATTTGTCTTTTTCCTTTGTAGGAAATCTTTAAGATAGAAGGCAACCTTGGAATTCCAAGACAAAAAAGGGCTATTCTGGCAACTCCAATATTAATTCCAGAAAATCAAAGACCACCATTTCCCAGATTAGTTGGCAAGGTAAGTTTAAAAATATAAATATATAGAAGATCAAATTTTGATATTAAATAATGTTTATTCTGCTTTAAGGAATGCTTTTAATGTTTTTCTATCTGTATTGTATAGATGAAAGTGACTTTTTATTCACAGGAGTAGTGTACATTATGGTAAAATGTATTCATCAGAACCACATAGATTGATGAAGCTGCTGTCTGTAATAGAGGTTACTGCCTGCCTGTCTGTCTGTGTGTGTGGCTGAGGCTGAAATGTAGGTTGGGAATGTTATGGAGCATAACTTACTGAGTGGTGTTGATTACCTTGTCTTTAATCTTAACCCTTAGGAGGTCCTAAGGTAAAAACATCCTAAGTTAATGTACTTAAATTCATTTATAATGTCTAAAGACTAAGTCAGACTTCGTGCTCATTTGTGGTTTATTTTGATGAAAAATGGGAAGTTCTTGTGGTTACAGGAATCCATGTAAATTAGAATTCCAACAGCTCCTTTTCCAGAACTTGAAGTATACGGCTAAAATACGAAATCATTCAAAGTGAAATACAAATAATGGTTTAAATGGCTATTTAGGCATCAGAAGCTGTAATTACATTAATATATTTTGTACACTGACAGTCATGAAACAGGAACTCTGTGTTGCTCTTTTAGTAGGTGTGACAGTGACATGACAGCCTATGGAGCTGCGGAGTACATTCATAATTCCCACCAATGGGATTGCTAGAGCTCAATGCACAGCTCAAGGGCAGAATTTTACTCTACAATCAATGTGTAATTTAGCTAGCCTGGTACCTTATCAGTTACTTTAATAATTAGGAAAGGTTGTTTTGCATTCAGTAAAATGAAAGAATCTGTTTTTTTTCTTCTCCGTTCTCAGTAACTTACAGTCATTTCTGAGCTTCACGTCATGTTTCATAGTTTGACAGTTAGAGAGCAGTACTTTAGTATATATTGTTGGCTAATATATTAGTGAAAAATAATTAATTTCTAAACTTCTCTTGCTCAATTTTAAAGGAGAGAGAGAGATATTTGGAAAGATTTCATATACATAGGTATGGTGTCTTGTTTTTCATATTTGTTTTTCCCCTCATTCTTCTTGTTCCTTAGGTAATCTGAGTGCTTTCTAGAAGTGCCTTCATTAAGTATTTTTATTGCTAGCTTAGGTTGATAGCACTGGTAATTGAGGTTTCTTAAGCAGAATGAGATGAATCTGGTCCTACTTGTACTCAAACATTTTTTTCTAGCATCTTGTCATCTTGATTTGTTATAATTCTTGAAGTAGTAGTTAGGGATCACATGTTAAGTGCAGTAGATGATGTACAAACACAGAACTGTTTGAGCATCTGGCAGTCTGTTTTTCGAAAGCCCTAAGATGCCTTTTTGCAACTGATGATTAAATTATAGGAACTACAAATGATCAGCACCTTGAAATACTTGAGCTGACATCAGTTTAAGTCTTTAAATATGATTTTTTTCAGTATTTTTCCAACATAGGTATCTAGACCACTATTTTGGCTACAGTCTATTGTAGGTAATAATGTAGAATGAGTGAGACGAAACTTGTGGGGATATTTAAAATAAGGGAATGAAATATTCCACCTCAACTGCTGTAATTTGTAACTGAATGCTTAACAAAGCATAAATAAAAAGGTTTAGAGCCTCGAAGATTTTGAATGTAGGGAAGAGGAGTCTGTTGTTCTTCAGATACACAATTCAATAGGAGTGAAGGCTGAAAATAAAAGCAATCATTTGAGGTCTTTGTTGACATCTCTCAGAGCTTTATAAACTATGTGAGGAAGTTTGAACTCTAGAGATGTTCAGAGCGCCTTACACACTCAATTGATGTACTTGTTTCAGACCCTGCACAAACTGTTGAAAAGGTTGGTCATCTTTTTCATTTAACTTTAGAAGCTTATTCTGAATTGTTTGTGAATTTACCAGAGTTCTGTACACTTCTGTGAGACCTGAGAAATACAGTTGTTCTTGAACTTAAACTTTCCCATCTCTTTGGTCAATTGTAAGCGCTGTGAAGGTGACACTGCAGGCGTGTTTTGTAGTTGTCATTTCTATGGCCTATAGAGAAAAAGAGAAAGTGTAAAGAATGCTGATCACAAGCTTGAAGTTGGATAACTTTGCATGTTATATGAGAATTTTAAAAATGAAAGAGAAGAGAAAACAGATTCTGGATCATAGTTTCATCATGTAATTGCCAGTATTCATGACTGAGCACTTGTGTAGCTTTGCTGTGAAGCAAATGGCAGAGATTCTCATAACACAGGCTCACTAAAGCTCACTCCATCTGCCCAACACTCTGAGCAGTGCCCTGGGCTCCACTGTGATGTGTGCTCATCTTCAAGTCCTGTGAGGAAGGGGGTGACTCGGCCAGGAGCCAGCATCAGCTTGAGCTGAACTCTGATGGCTTTTCTATGAGAACACAGTTCTTTCCTATTCCATAGCTGTGATATAAATATGAAATAGAGAGACCTCTGGAAGGGACTGCAGCTAAGGAACGATTGTAGCATTTAAATAGATGCTTCCAAGTTTGGGCAATAATTTGTTTCAGTGTGCACTATGGAGTATTTCCTATTTTATTCAGGCATGGGCAGGCATACTGTTTGTATGAACTACAGGATATAGAGGAACGCACAAGTTTACTGTTGTAGGTATTATTTATATGTATTGTACTTTGGTCACCCAATACTGCTGTGTCTCTGCCTCTACTGGTGAAATCTCAAAGGGAAACTAAAAAGTGAAATTTAGAGAAAATATACTACTTAAGTGTAGTAAAAACATAATGCTGAACATTATTGAACTTGCTTCCTATTAGGATGAACATGGCTGATTCAGTCTGTCAAGTGTTATAGTGAGGGTAAATTAATTAGTTCCAACCCTGTGCAGTCATTTTCAGAATAATTTTACTTCAGAAAGTTGCCTTCTGCCATGACTTGTGTCTGAGAGGGTATAGAAAATAAATCATCAAAGTCAGGGAAAAAATGTATAGCATCTGTTGGCTCACTTTTTCTTACTGCAGCTGTAACAGGTATCCAAACATGTCTGAGGATTGTACCAACTGATAGAGGGTCAGAAGTCATCCCCTGCCCTATTTCAGGGCTGAAATAGCTCTGTAGCGTTCCATGAATGTTGGATCTTCATAATACTTGATAATTTCTGAAGTGGAATTCCATGAGCGTATTTAAGATGTCAAGCTCATTTCTGAACTTCAACTCTCAGTGTAATTTTCCAAAAAAGTTAAGTTCTTCAGGTGATAAATAGCAATAAAAACATTTAGGAACTAGGAATTCTAATTAAATAATGTTGGGGAAGTGCATGTGTGTGTCTCTGGGAGAGGTGGATGGTGAGAGGGGTGGATCAAAATAACCACACACTTTCTGTGTGGAGAATAATTACTATTGTTGTTTACTTCTCATCTTCATTATGCTCCTGAAGTTCCTCTTGCTGTTCATCAGAAATGTAAAGCTTTCCTGAATGAATGGAATATGGGATAGGGATGGTCAAATACAACTTGTTCTGTTTGATGCTATTGCATCGTGCAGGTAGTGTCTACATGAAAGCTTCCAGGTTCACCCTGAGTGTTACTTTCCCTTTCTTCCACGTACTTCAGAAAGATTTCCAGTTTAGTTCATTCCTCTGTCCTGACTGCCTCCTGGTTTCCACCTCCCACTAACACAACGCTGTCTGGAAATACACAGAGTTGTTTGGAAGTGATTGCAGAAGCTGCCAGCAGTTGAACTGCTTATTAGTACTTGGTTGGAAGCAAGGCAGATGTACAAAACTAGGAGAGGAAAGGGAGAAATTTTTTTTCCATAATTAGGAATCAATAGCATAAAAAGAAAATCATGGTAATTTTAGAGGACTTCATTGATCAAGATTTGATGTTGTAACTTGGGAAGGAGATGGTGCACTGGGTAAGTGGAAGTATTGGATTGTTTTAATTAATGAGAAAATTTAAAGTCAGTATTTAGTATAACAAGGAAATACATGTGTAGAGGCTGTTTTCTTTTCTGTTATGACTTTCTACTACACCCACTTAGGGATAAGTGCTTTGCCTAGCCATTGCACACCCTTGGTTAGGGGATCCCTTAATTAAATTACTATCATAGACGTGCTGTGCTTGTAGGTAAAGGAATCTTGCCTTTCAGCAAAATCTGAGCTGCTGCATATTATCCTTCATTCCTGAGGGAGAATAGGGAGATGAAAATATTTTAATACATACTTGGTACCATGGGCCTATGTGTCCAGATGGTCCAGGCTACAACTGTTGACTGTTATTGATGTGTTTTGTTTAGCTCATGCTGATATAGCACAGGGATATGATACGCAATTTTTAGTCTCTTTCCATATGCTGCTTTCTGTCCACATCAAGTCAAATGAAGCACAAAACAGTGGGATCTGGAATTATCCTGTAATTACAATGATTTGTTGTGGATTGATTTTTATATATGGTAAATCAATTATTCTATTACTTAATTTAAAGGTATACCTTTCATTAGAAGGAGTATTATAGTTGTTTTAACATAAGAGAGGGAAGCTCTAAATGTCCCTGCAAAAATTGGCTGAACTTAAAATGGTTGGTGTAGACCAGAAGACAAAGAACGTTAGAGATTCTGTAAGAAACAATGACTTAATGAAGAAGATGCAAAACTTTGGTTTTTGCCAGTAAGATAATTTGTTGGGTTTTTTTTTGACTGTTTAGTTTGTCTTTTGGAAATGAAAGCATGCTTGATATTATATTTATATAGTCATGCTTTATATTAGATAGTGTACATATATTCCCTGCCTTTCATCTGTGCTGATGTGCCAAATGACAATTAGATGGCAGAACTGATCTAAGCTCAAGGAAAAAAAGTAATGAAGGCTATCCAACACAATAGAAATCTCTATGATCAGGGTGGGTTTTTTTTTTTTTTTTTTTCCTCTTCAAAGCTGTGAATTTAAGGAGAGTGGTTTTTTCCTCCTTCAAGTTGTGAATTTAAGGCTAAGTGAAAACACA